CCTGGGTTCCATGGAACCCAGGGAACCCAGGCGTGCTGGGTTCCTTCGAACCCAGTAGGGGAGGGGAAGGAGAAAAGGAAAGAGAAGGAGAAAAAGAAAGGAAAGGAAAGAAAAAAAAAATTTTATTAAATTATATTTTTGATGCCAAATCATAATATTTTTATAATTAAAAATGCCACGTCACTCATTTTATTTGCAGATAATATTTAATATTAATAAAAATTGAATTTGTTAACGGGAAATGTTGCCATGTCAGCATTTAACTGACGGAAGGACGAAATTGGTCCTAAAAATTGAAGTTCAAGGATTTTTTTAGTACTTTTTGAAGTTCAAGGGTAGTTTTAGTTCAAAAATGAAAGTTGAGGGACTGAATCGGGGATATAACCTAAAAGAATGGCAAGCTGAGAATTTGTGTAGACTTCAGAAATTTAAATCTGGCAACACCAAAAGATGAATATCCTATGCCTGTTGCAGATTTATTGGTGGACGGTGTAGCACGCCACCGAATTCTGTCATTCATAGATGGCCACAGCGGGTACAACCAGATTTTTATAGCAGAAGAGGACATTCCAAAGACCGCTTTCCGCTGCCCAGGAGCTATTGGTACGTATGAATGGGTAGTAATGCCATTTGGTTTAAAAAATGTGGGTGCAACTTATCAAAGAGCCATGAACGCCATCTTTCATAACATGATTGGTTGTTTTATGGAAATTCATATTGATGATGTGGTTGTGAAATCTAATGAGGATGAAGAACATCTGGAGCATTTAAAGTTGGCTTTTGAAAGAATGAGAAAGCATGGTCTGAAGATGAATCCTTTAAAATGTGCATTTGGCGTTTTTGTTGGAAATTTTCTGGGATATCTGGTACATGAGCGAGGTCTGGAAGTAGATCAGAACAAGGCAAGAGCTGTTATTGAAGCACAGCCGCCAAGAAGTAAGAAGGAATTACAAAGATTCCTTGGGCAAGTAAATTTTCTGAGACGTTTTATCTCAAATCTGGTAGGAAAAACAAGAGTTTTTTCGCCACTGCTGAAGCTGAAATCAGAAGTAGATTTCAAATGGGAGAAACACCATCAGACCGCCTTTGAGGAAATAAAGCATTATTTATCAAAGCCGCCGGTCTTAGTGCCTCCTTTAAGAGGCAAACCTTTGATTTTATACATATCTGCCGCAGATGAATCTGTAGGATGTCTGCTGGCTCAAGAAAATAGTAAAAAGCAAGAACAAGCTGTTTATTATTTGAGTCGAAGTCTGTCACAGACCGAAGTGAAATATTCTTCGGTCGAAAAATTATGTCTTGTTTTGTTTTTTGCTGCAATAAAATTGAGGCATTACTTGCTTTATTCCGAGGTTTATGTTATTTCGAAAACTGATGTGATAAAGCACATGTTGTCTCGACCACTGTTGCGAGGCAGAATTGGGAAATGGGTTCTGGTTTTGTCAGAATTCAACTTGAAGTACATACCTCAAAAAGTTGTCAAGAGGCAGGTTTTGGCAGATTTCCTAGCAGATCATCCGTGCCTTGAGGTAGAAGCGGATGAGGAAAAAGGTATTAATTTATTTTCCATAAGTCTGGTTCCTTGGAAGCTTATCTTTGATGGATCTAGCACAGATTCCATGTCTGGAGCAGGAATTATTATTATTTCTCCAACTGGTTTGAAAACCCAGATGTCATTTCAGCTAGATTTCAATTGCACCAACAACCAAGCTGAATATGAGGCATTGATTATTGGGTTGGAAGTATTGGTAGAGCTCAAGGTACCCATGGTAGAAATAATTGGTGACTCACAATTAATCTTGAAGCAATTAGAAGGTGAGTACAAGTGCACTAGTTTGTCTTTGGCACCTTATTTTGCTTTGGCAGTACAGCTCTTGGAGGAATTTGATGATGAAATCTTGAGGCATGTTACTCGAGATCTGAACACAGAAGCAAATGAGATGGCACAAATCGCCTCGGGCTTAAAAATCCCATAAGGCGTGATGAGCAGAATTGTTGTTGTGGAAAAACCAATTCTGCCATCTATTCACATGCGTGGTATGGCAATTTCTGCTTGTTCCATAGACATAACCCAGACAGATTGACGCTATCCGATCATGGAATACCTCAAAAATCCAAATTTTAAGGCCTCAAGAAGAACAAAAATGCAGGCCTTAAATTATGTTCTGTTGGAAGATGTTCTTTATAGAAGAGGACATGATGAACTACTTTTGCGTTGTCTTGGTCCAGATGAGTACTGCCAGATTATGTCAGATGTGCATAACGGAATCTGTGGTGCACATCAAGCTGGAATTAAGATGAGATGGCTAATTCGTAGACATGGATTCTTTTGGCCATCAATCTTGAAAGATTGCATTAGCTATGCTAAAGGATGCAAAGCCTGCCAGATTCATGGACCTTTGCAGAGAGTTCCAGCGTCAGAACTCCATCCAATTGTCAAACCATGGCCATTTCGAGGGTGGGTCATAGATTTGATTGGTAAAGTTTATCCTCCTTCAACTAGAGGGCATTCATTTATTATTGTCGCCACAGATTACTTTACCAAATGGGTGGAAGCAAAGCCAATGAAGAAGGTTGACCAGACCGATATTATTAAATTTCTTAAGGAAGAAATCATTCACAGATTGGTTTGCCAGAAACAGTGACTTCATATCAGGGGACAGTTTTTGTTGGTGCACAAGTTGAAGCATTTGCAAAAGAAATGGGATTTAGGTTACTTACTTCAACCCCTCATTATGCTCAAGCCAATGGTCAAGCTGAAGCTTCCAACAGAATTGTGATAAATCTGCTGGAAAAAATGGTTGATGATAATCCAAGATGTTGGCATGAGCTGTTATCTGACACAATCTGGGCTTACAGAACTTCACAAAGGAGTTCTACCAAGGTAACTCCATTCTCTTTAACTTATGGACATGATGCTGTTCTGCCCATGGAGTTATCTGCTAGATCATTGCGTATAGCAATTCAACATGGTCTCACTTCTGGAGAATATAATGAAGCAATGATTCTAGAGTTAGAAGACCTTGAAGGTATGCGATTGACGGCCTTAGATAGGCTGCAAACGCAGAAATTAAAAGTGGCTTGAGCATACAACAAACGAGTGAAATCCAGAAGTCTGGCAGAAGGAGATCTGGTATGGAAAATAATTCTGCCACCTAGAAAGAAAGACCCCAGATTTGGGAAATGGTCTCCAAATTGGGAAGGACCATTTCGTATACATGAAGTGCTTAAAGGAGGAGCATATTGGCTTGAATCATTAAATGGAGAGTTACATCCTCGAAAAATAAATGGAATCTACCTTAAGCCTTACTATCCTATGATATGGGAGGCTAGAGGTTTGGATACCATTGATTCTACCTGAAATAGATTCGAGGTAGGATTTGTACAGTATTTTATTCCATTGTTTTAAGCATTTTATCATTCAATAAAAAGTGCTGAGCGAAATCTGTGAGTAGGCCAGATCTGGCTGTGAACCACCACAGTAGCCAGATTTCGGCCATGACAGATTTCAACTTGTACCAGAATATGAACAAAAAGTACAACAAGCAGATTTCTAGAATATGAGCCAAGAAAGAGATCAACATTGAAAAGAAGTTTGCATGGCCAACAGGCCGCAAACAATATGTTCAGACATGACAATGTGCAATTCCAGCCAACAAAGAGATAAGAAGATACATAAGAGAAAAATCAACACAGGTTGTTTTGCCATGAACTCCATTCTTCTCTCATGGTCTTTATCTCCTCAGCGGCTTCGTCTGCAGAGGCTGTGAAGGAAGGTAGCTGCTCCTTGATCTTGGCAGTAGATTTCAACCCAGCTTCCATGCCCATGCGGAGCTTGTTTCTTTGTTCTGCCAAATTCTTCTCACTTTGCTCCGCAAGAGGAACTTGGTTTCTCAACTCTGAAAGCTCGGCTTCAAGGCTAGAGATTTTTTCTTTGAGCCCTTGGAGATGCTTAATCTGCGTGACATGAGCCTCCTTTGCTGCCATGAATTCTTCTTTCTTCTTGAAGACAGCGGCAGTGCTATCCGCTACAGACTTCCTGACAGAATCTGCAGCCGCTACTTTGCTTTCAAGCACCCGAAACCTCTTGCTGAAGTGCGTATAAATGGAGGTGAAGTCTGCCCAGAATTTTTGTTGAGATGATGATAACTGTGGAGCCCGGCTAAGGATTTGAGCCGCTTCAAAGGCGGCTGGCTGGTCCGGCACCTTGCAGAAATGGGAAGGACCACCGTCAAGGAGCTCTTGCATGGTCATGATCGCAAAACTAATCTGCTCCTGAGTAGGAAGGTTGATGTCAAAATCCATTTCTTCAGCAACTGCCTTCCCTTTGCTATCTGTGGCAGATCTAGATTTAGCAGGAGTATCCATCAACATGTCCAGCTGAGCAAGGAGTTCATTCTCCAAATCATCATCAATCATGGGCACATCAGCAGCAACACTCTATAAAATGCAAAGACAAAAAATAAAAAATGGCAACTGGCAGATATGGTGACAGATTTCAAGATCTAAGCAGATTTCAGAACAGTAAAACAACCTCAATGTCATCAACATGAACATGCCTAGCAGGAGAGGCTACGGGTGTAGGGGTATTCTCTTTATCTGGGCTTAGATCGATGAGTTCATTCGATCTAACTGTTCTAAAGCTTTTACTTGCTATGCGTGAAGAGAATCTAGAACCTCTAACCTTTGTGGTGGGTGAAGAACCATTGCCAGATTTGGTGTGAGAGGAGCCAGAATTGCTTCCATCACCCTCAGCAGATATGTCTTCAATAGGAGCTTTTGTGGCAGCAGGACCGAGGGAAACATCTTCTGTTTTTTTAGGTTGCGTCTCGGTCTCTGTGGCAGAAGAGGACCTCGAGGGTGAGGCAGATTTGATAAGTTTCTTGGCTGCATATGGTTTTACTACTGACCTCTTGATCCCTAAAAAAAAAAAAAAAAGTAAAGAGAAAGTGAGTGTTAGCAGAAAAACATGTCACAAAGTTGCAAGCCAAAGCGGATTTACCTCCGGTTCTTCGCTGCTTGGAGGGGGTATCTTCTTCCATGGAATCTGCAGGAGTAGCAAATTTCCTTTTGACTTGAAGTTTGGGAGCTCTCCTTGGCAGATTTGGCTGGCTGATCTGGTCGGCCATGGCAGATTCCAAGTCCTCATTCTCTTTTACTACTTTCTTCCCTTCAGGTTTTTTGGTGAGTTGTGGAGGGGCTAGAACAGAAATATTCTCCATAACATCAAGAAACCGAGGATGAAAGTAGTCTCGCCACCAATTTTTGTAAGCAGAAGTGCAACTTGGGCGAAATGGAGGATCTGGTAGAATTAGTGTCTGCAGAGTTTTGGTGATGTCAGCTAGTTTGGTAACCAAAATCTTTGAATCCCCAATCATAAACCGAAGGGCATAGCTGTAGTTGAAGGAAAATAGTGGCGGGAATGGTATGTCTTGGCAGTACCCTAACTGCCGACAGAATTGGTTCGGTGCATAAAGCTCCATACTACATCTAGAGTTGAGAGTGTTCAAACTACAGCCAACAAACAAATCTCGAGAGGTCACACAAACAGACCAAAATGCTTTGAAATCCAGGGATTGGACATCGGCCTTGTACCATGAAAGACCGTGAGATCTGCCAAGAAACACAGCAAAGTCTGCATCGGGTCGATCAACAGAAAAAGAAGCAAAAAACTTGAAGCACTCTTCAAAGCTTCTCTTGTTTTCCACGGCATTCTTGAACATGAAGCCGTAAGTAAGTAGATCATGGGCTGGAACAGCGGATGAGACAGGAGCTAGGGCTGGAAAATAAGAATACAACCACAGCTGCAAAACCCAAAGTGGCCCACCACTAATGACTAAAGGGTGAGCCGTGATGTCTTGGCAACTCCTGTACAAATGAGCAAGCAAAAAAGGACCCAGAGCCATTTGTTTACCATGTGCTAAAGCAGCAGCTAAGGGAATAAACTCTTTAGTGGGACCTTTACCAGCAGAGCAGACTATATATTTGCAAATCAAAGTAAGCAGAAAGGAAATATGCTCATCAGCACCGACAGACTTACTTTTATCATAAGCAGACCTCACAAAGGCTGGATAGGAGGGCTTCAATTCCGCATTGTACTCAACGCCTGGAGGCAAGGTTAACAATGCTGAAATTTCTTCTCCAGTATAGGGTAATCCAGTTAACGAGCTGACATCAAAAAGGCTCACAGACATGGCTCCACAGGGAAAATGAAAACAATTGAAAGAGCTAGACCAAAACAACAAAGCTGCACCCAAGACCGGTTTGTCCATGGTGAATCTGCACTTGGTGAGTTGTATAAATTCAAACAAACCCGCATCTCTCCAAATTTGACCAAAAGCAGGTTCCAGACGGTTTATCCAGTCATTCCATTCTAATTTCCGCCAAGATGGCCAAGCTCCAAAAGAACCAACCCATTTGCTCCAATCAGGTTTTACTTGAAAGGGGAGCAGATGTTCTTTGGGCTGTGGGTAAATGGAGGCAAGAGAGGCCGACGGATGAGACACAAAATAAGGGCCCTGTAAGGATAGGTCCGAGGTGCCAAGCCTCGGACTGCTATAATAATTTCTTTATGACCGAAGTGAGGAATAAATCCAGAGCTTCCCGCTCAAATGGCTGCATGACAAGGACAATAAGCATGCCCGCACTTGATTTCTTACGATGAGTGGCACAACAAGTATGGTGGACGCTCGTGCATCTGGATACCTCTCAAATTCCCGGTCCCGGAATAACCGTCTGGATGGACACGTCAGGCTCCGATTATCTTGCTTGGCATGCCACGTGGGTTCCTCATTGGATCCTATAAATACCCCCCCGGGCCACGTCAAAAAGGTAATTGAAACCAACCTTAAGCTTTTCTTATCTCCGCCTTAAAGGTAGCTCCGATTATTGTTGACTTAAGCATCGGAGTGTCTACCCCGAGTTCAACCTCGGGGCTTTGCAGGTCATCTCGGAGTGCAAGCGCGGACTGAAGAAGGACTTCTGATTTGGTGCAATTACATTGGCGCCGTCTGTGGGAATCGAACTAAAAGCTTTCTAATTGCTCTTTCATCATGGTTCACACTCGATCAGTCCGAGCTGGAAATTCATCTCTGCCTCATGGGCAAGGTCAACCCTCAAACAACCTTCCACCTCTATCCCACCTCAAATCCCACCTCAACTTCCACCTCAGGTCCCAACCATATTCCCTCCTGTTGATCATGTAGAAGGAGGAGATGAAAACCAACCCCATACCTCAGCTCACAATTCAACTTCCACTACCAACCAAGACGCGGTGACAGCTCAGCTTGCTGCCATGCAGCAGCAGTTTGGTGTTTTTCAGTTGGTACTGGCTCAGCTTTTAGCTAGAAATAATCTTGGTGATCCCCTCATTAATTTACTAAACCCTGCTCAACAAACCCCAGCTCCACAATAGAATCCCCAACCAGTTCAACCTGCTCCCGCTATTAGCGAATCTCAGGATCAATCCCACATAGCACCCGCTCAGCAACCCATCCCTGATGATGTTACTCGTCGCCTTGATAGCTTAGAAAAGCTGATAGCTGAACACCGAGGTGCTCCACCCCCACAACATGCTACTGATTCCATACCTCATCCCCTAAATACCAACATCACATTGGAACCCTATCCTACTGGCTTCAAAATACCATAACTGGAGACTTATGATGGGATGAAGGATCCCGATGATCACCTGCATGCTTTTTACTCTTGTATGCAAGCATAGAATGCCTCTGACGCGTTAATGTGCAAGATCTTCCCCTCTACTCTACGAGGTAATGCTCGAACTTGGTATTATAGTTTACCTCCGAGGTCAATTAGTTCTTACACAGAAATGGCATCTGCCTTTACCACTAAGTTTTCCAGTAGAAGGTTGATTAGGAAAACTACTACCAAATTGATGCGAGTTAAATAGAGGGACGGAGAGTCTCTAAAGAACTACATGAGCAGATTCAATGATGCGGTGTTGGAGGTTAGTTCATTTGACCAAGCTGTGGGCATTGCAGCTGTAATCTCTGGTCTCAAACATGACAGGTTCCGAGACAGTTTGATCAAACATGCTGCCACCACCTTTAGTGAGGTAAATGACAGATCTCTGAAATTTATAACTGCTGAGGAATACGCCCTGGCGCAAAATCCACCTTCCTCTAAGAACCAGAACCCAGAATGGAGAGATGACAACCCGAGCCGAAAAAGGATGAGAATGGCGCAGAATCGAGGTCCAGTGTTGACCTCCCCACCGAGATTCGGAAGGCCGAACTCCACGCCCCCACAACAATCTGCAGGTAAACCTCCAGTTAATTGGACTCCATTTAATTTGCCGAGGTCACAAATTTTTATGCAGATCAAAAATAAGATGGACTTGAGACGTCCCAGCCCAATGCGAACTGCTGCTGCTAGTCGAGACCATACCAGATATTGTGATTTTCACCAGGATCACGGCCATACTACAGAGCAGTGTAACAGTTTAAAGTCCGAACTGGAAAGTTTAGCTCAGAAGGGAATGCTGAATGAGTATATACAGCAAGCTGAACAGCCGAGGTTTGTCAGAGAACAGAGGCCACAGCCTCAAGGAGCCCGCAATCCCCCAAATAGGCAAGGTGTGGGATATCAACAAACCCCACCTCCACTCCCACCACCAACTAGAATCATACATATGATTACGGGAGGCCTTGAAGCAGGTGGACTGAGCTCTAAGCAGCGAAAGCTGTATGTCAGGGAGGTTAAACATCAAAACCGAGCTCAGAAGCGGAAGATTGACGATGCTGAATGGAAGAATCAACCAATTACTTTCACATCTACTGATCTCGATACAGTTGTTACACCCCACAATGATCCTTTGGTCACTTCTGTCATGATTAACAACTGTGAAGTACAACGTGTCCTTGTTGACACCGGGAGTGCACCAGACATCATGTACTTCCACTGTTTCGAGAGTCTGGGACTAGATCCAGCATTGTTGCA